AAATGACAGATCCGATAAAGGTTTGACATCCAAAATATATAAAGAGCTCACGCACCTCAACAAACAAAAAGCAAATAATCCAATTATAAAATGGGCAGAGGAGCTGAATAGACAGTTCTCTAAGGAAGAAATCCAGATGGCCAACAGGCACATGAAAAGATGCTCCACATCGCTAATCATCAGAGAAATGCAAATTAAAACCACAATGATATATCACCTCACACCAGTAAGGATTGCCATCATCGAAAAGACAAACAACAACAAATGTTGGCAAGGGTGTGGACAAAGGGGAACCCTCCTACACTGCTGGTGGGAATGTAAATTAGTTCAACCATTGTCCAAAGCAGTATGGAGGTTCCTCAGAATGCTCAGAATAGAAATACCATTTGACCCAGGAATTCCACTTTAGGAATTTACCCTAAGAATGCAGCACTCCAGTTTGAAAAAGACAGATGCACCCCTATGTTTATCGCTGCACTATTTACAATAGCCAAGATATGGAAGCAACCTCAATGTCCATCAGTAGATGAATGGATAAAGAAGAAATGGTACATATACACAATGGAATATTACTCAGCCATAAGAAATAAACAGATCCTACCATTTGCAACAACATGGATGGAGCTAGAGGGTATTATGTTGAGCGAAATAAGTCAGGCGGAGAAAGATAAGTACCAAATGATTTCAGTGATATGTGGAGTATAAGAACAAAGGAAAACTGAAGGAACAAAACAGCAGCAGAATCACAAAACCCAAGAATGGACTAATAGTTACCAAAGGGAAAGGGACTGGGGACGATGTTTGGGAAGAGAGGGATAAGGGTGGGGAAAAAGAAAGAGGGCACTATGCTTAGCACGTATAGTGCATGGGGGTACAGGGAGGGCTGTGTAACAGAGAAGACAAGTAGTGATTTTACAGCATCTCACTACGCTGATGGACAGTGACTAATGGGGTATGTGGGGGGGGGGGACTTGGTGAAGGAGGGAGTCTAGTAAACATAATGTTCCTCATGTAATTGTAGATTAATGATACTAAAATAAAAAAAACCCCAAAAGTTAATGATTTTAAACAATTTTTTATTTCTTGTAATTCTGTGGGTTGGCTTGGCTCAGCTGGATGTTTCTTTTGGGAGCTCCATGGGGGCTGAAATGTCCAAGACTCTTCAGGCCTCTTTCCATATGACTCTTTCTCTGTCTTGATTCCTTGTATCATGCCTAGCTCCTAAGAATATTGAAAGTGTTACCCTTAAAAATAAAAGTTATTTTATCAGCAAAACCAGGTTTATTTGGGGATAGCAGAGAACTGCAATTTGGGACATGCAAGCCATGGTTGTAAGTCCATGGAGAGGAAATCCTGGGGCAAAATACCTCTAAAAACCGAAATCAGTCAAAGGGAGAAATAAAGTTTAAAACCCATTTATTGCTTACAAACTGCAGTCCAGGGCCATCTCTCTCCTCTACTCCAGAAAAAGCCAACAAGGGAACCAGGCCCCTCCCCTTAACCTCTCAGGTTTAGACACACCCTCGATTTCCCATGTAATTACTCATTGACATGGAGATGAACTTCTCTCCACCCCTGAGGCTATTAAAATGCACCAAAGCCAGGCGAGATACTCTGGAAATGTTACAATTTTATCCACAGGCCACCCCTCCAGAAATCTCACCTTGTCTACTCATTTCCCTTCTTCCGCAATGGTCTCTGGGTGAGGAAACTGGAGCATTGTGACCAGACTAATAATACAATAGCAACAGCAATAAAATCATGACAATCCTCAAGCCAGAGGATTCGGCTACGTTCAAAGCCTTATGAAGATTAAGTCAATAGCTCGTCCATTCCATAGGCAGGCAGTAGCTGAGAGTTCAGACAATCATCATGCAGCAGCTACAGCCAGGGGATGCATTCAAGCCACAAGGACTGTAGGAGAAACTAACCTTAAGGGCGATAAGATACATGTTTTAATGACACCAGCATACACAAATCTTGTCCATCAGGTAGGATACATGCAAGAGAGTGGTCCTGTGATAAAACAGTGGCAGGAATGGGATCTCATCCTGGTCTAGTATACCAGACTTTCACCTCCTCCCTGTGGGAGTTACAGATGGGTCAATATATAGGGCTACGGGAGGTACATGCACCGGCCAAAAAGATAAAACAAAACTCCGCAAGATGCTCTTAACCTCCTGGATGTTTTGGGTACACTACCATGACCTTTGGGGGCCATTCAGCTGTGATTCCAGGAATACACAGGAGTCCAGCTTCCAGGCCTTTCCCCCAAGTTGCCAGAAGGGCCATCCATTGCTGGTCCATGTGTCAAAATGTCCAGGGCAAGGTCCATTCAACAGTGTCTCCAGGGCTTAATGCAGTAGGGGCTGGCAGCAGGATGTTACACTGCTGGCCATATCCTGGCTTTAATAACTCTTCTTTGGTTTGCACATACAGTTGTATAGGGGAGGCAGCAAGGTGTGTGAGCATGTCCACAGGGCTCAAAGCTCCTTTATGTGGCTTCTCAAACACCACAGCACTGTCCATAGATGAACTGACCAACCCCATAGACTATTGGTATCCAACTTCAGGACAGATTTCAACAAACCGTTGTACCTCTCTATCGTGTCTGCCCCATTAGAAGTATATGGTACATGAAATTTCTACTTTATTCCTAATTGCTGCACCCGTTATTTTTTTTCCCCACCCATACCCCAATGCAGTCACTGTCCATCAGTGCAGCAAGTGCTGCACCCATTCTTGTAATGCATGTACAGTAATGTGGGTGCCTTGATCATTCTCAATCACTTGTGGCTGGCCATAGGCTGCAAAGAGATACTCCAGGCCCCTCTTGGTGGTTTGCTGATCTGCACAACGTGCATGAAAAGCAACCAGTAGTCCAGTAGCCATGTTCACATGTGTCATGGCATACCAATATCCTTCTGATATGGGCGAGGCCCAGTATAGTCTATTTGCCACCTGACAAAAGGTATTGGCCCATTTACTATTGTCCCATGTTGCTGTGGGACTTGGTGTAAGTCCCTCTTTGAGCACACTAGGCACTCCTTCTGAGCTTTGCTGACTTCTTCAAAGGTCAATGGCAAGCTCCACTGATGGGCTACAGCCCACATTGTCTTTTGCCCCATGTGCAACAAATGCTGGTGTAATCATTGGGCCACATCAGAGGCAGGCTTTCCTTCTAGCCAACGCACCAGGGCCAGTGTGTCTGCTTCATCATTCCCTGGGGATGCCAAAGGCAAATGGCCAGTCACATGATATACAGTAACAGTCTTAGGCTGACCAGAGGTCCTTAGGTCTTGCCACAACTCTTGCCCCACAACCATCCAGTTGGCATGATACCATGTTGGTAGACACAGGGTCAAGCCCCAGTAGACAGCCCAGCTGTCAGTGCAGACAACTATGGGGGAAGGCTCCTGAGTGATCATGAGCCTTCCCCACAAGATGCTCTTCCCCTCTCCCTCCTCCATCCATATTGTCTCAGTCTTAAGATGGAAAGCCACAGCCCTCAACTTTGGGGGCTGCCCATGACTGGAGCCATCTGTGTACCAAGCATCTTTAGATATACGGGTTTTTCCATCCTGATAAGGAGTCTTGGCTACCAAGGGCTGAAAAGCAAGTTCTTCCTGCTTTCCACTGGTACAGGTCACTGGCCTCAATAAGCGTTGGAGTTCTCCACTTAAGGGACTAGTAGACAGGGCACTGCACTGCTGTAAATATGCCCCCCATTTGACCAGTGTAGGTGTCTGTGCCACAGCACTCCATGGCCTTTGGATCCAGTCTTGCACCCACCCTGTGATGTGATGGGTGGTTATTATGTTGGTTGGAGCTGTTCCTGCAATGGGCTCCATAGCCAGCAAGGTGTAGTACACAGCAGCCAGTTGCTTCTCTATCAAAGTGTACTGGCCCTCTGCTCCTTTCCATAGTTGTGACCAGAATCCAATAGGTTGGCATGTCCATTCAAGCCACTGCCAAAGATCCCATCCATAACCATCTTTGGTTACATGAACATCTAGCTCACAGGGCCTTGATAAGTCCATTACATTCAAGGCCTGTTCAGCCTTGACTGCCTGCTTGGCAGCAGTAAAACCAGCTGCATCTGTCTCATCCCAGTTCCACCTGATGCCCTTTCATACTAACCGGTATATGGGCTTCAGAATTTGTGCCAGGTGCGGGATAAACACTCTCCAGTAGACCAAAAGACCAAAAACTCTTGTAATACTGCCACAGTGGTAGTGGTGGGGAAAGCCTGGACCTTGTCTACAAATGCTTCAGGAACAACTTTAGTTTTACCAGACCAGACAACCCCCAAGAATTCCACAGACAAACCATGTCCCTGAACCTTGGTGCTGTTCACAGCCCATCCTTTCTCTGTAGATGTTGCAACAGTCTAGGAACTGCCCCTTCTAAACCTGAAAGCAATCAGATATGAGCATAATGTCATCAACGTAGTAATACAATCGCACTGTTGGTGGTTTCTTCCATGTGGCCAAGTTCTAGGCTACAAGTCCATGACAGATGGTGGGACTGTGGAGGTATCCCTATGGAAGGATGGTGAATGTCCACTGCCAGCCTTCCCACATGAAGGCAAACTATTCCTAGCTTTCCCGTGCTATGTCAATAGAGAAGAAAATCATTAGCAAGGTCTACTACATAATGACATATTCCCAGCTCATGGCTGAGGGTATGCAGAATGTCTGCTATAGAGGGGATAGCAGCATGCAAAGGGGGTGTGATTTCATTCAATTCCCTGTAGTGTACAGTCATATGCCAGGAGCTGTCTGATTTTCTCACTGGCCACACTGGGGAATTAAAAGGACTATGAGTGGACTTTATGATGCCCACCCTCTCCAACTCCTATAGGGTTTCTCCAATTTCCTTGTGCCCCCCAGGGAATTTATACTGCTTAATATTTGTCACCTGCTGAGGTACAGGCAGAGCTACAGGCAGGTGCTTAGCATGTCCCCTTAGAACTGCCTTTACCACATGTACCCTCAGTCTGAACTCATCTGCAGTGGTTTGTAACCACAGGCCCTGCAGGATATCTACCCCCAAAATATATTCAGGGATGGGAAAAATGTACACAGTTTACTCCTTTGGGGGTAAACACTCTGTCCCCAATGAGATTTGGGCTTTCTTCACTCTAATTACCTTACCCCCATAGCCATGTATCACAGCAGGAGTCCTGGGAAAACGTTCAGGGTTGCCATGAATCAAAGAACACTCAACTTGTGTGTCCTCCAGTGCCAGGACACATTGTACATTCACAGGGGACCAATGAATTGCTAATTCTACATGTAGCCTCTGGTCCCCACCATGTCCCCCAAGGTGGGGACTTTGACACCTTCCCCCCCTCGTCGAACCATGATGTGCAATCATCCTCCTGTGGGGGTGAGGTCTCAGGCAAATCTTAAGTACTGTCTCCCATGAAGTTTTGCAGGGACACAGGCTGGGCATGAGGCCTTGACTCTGGTTTTTGTGTCCTGGACCTCAGCGGCTGGAACTGCTGCTCTGGCTTTAATTGGTACCACAGTTCTAACAATATTCTATTGGGCTGCCCATTGAGTTTTTCTTTCACTACCCCGGACTTTATCAAATCAACCCACATCTGGGTCCTGGAGACCTTCACAGGGCCTTTTGCACTTCTACTTTCAGTCATGGCCCATACTTCCCTCCATGCCCTTATTGTTTCAACCTCCCCCAGATCTGCTAAAGGACGAGTAGCCTCACTTATGGGTTACCCTAGGTGGGGGACAAGAGTATTCACTAGGGACCCAAGGAGAGATGTGGGAGCTGTATGTAGCACCAGATTTATCATTCCTATAGTGAACAACTCCTCATCAGGGCCCTGGGTGTCCATATTATAGATGATATTTTTCATACCCAATTCCCACAGTACCTTTTGGAGCTCTGCATATGTTTTTCAACTACTAGAAAAATATGGCAAATCACCCTGGTTAGGTCAAACTACCCTGATGGCAGCTGTCAGCCATTCCAGGTGTATCTGATTCTATGAGGCATGACTGGCATTTTGCAACTGCTGCCCGAGAGAAGATGAGTCATCAGGGAAGCCATTCTACTCATCTCGGTACCCAACACAGCAATGTTTTCCACCCCCATATCCCGTAGACGTAAAAGCCATGTAGGCAGAGATTCCAATGGCCTCTGCCTATACTGGATGCTCATGTCCATCAGCTCGTCCTGTGTATAGCGGCGGAGGATGGAGTGCTCCACAACCTGGGGAGGGGGCTGCTCCTACTCCTCCTGAGGAGCCCATGGTTGTTTCATTTTTATTTTCTTAATTACAGCTGGGCAGGCCTTTAAAACAGGAGAATATGGTAACTCCGGCAGTGACATGGGTAGCAGATCTGCTAATGGCCCCACCTCCTCTTCTCCCTCGGGCTTCTCCACCAACAGCTCCTCTTCCACCACTTCTGGGGCTGAAGGCACTGCTCTTTCCTTCCTCTCCCCCACGGCCTCCTGCAATGCAGCTTTTCCTGCTGCCTCCCCCCTTGCTGCTAAGGAGTCCTCTAGGAGCGTGACCTGTCTTTTCAGTAACTGTCTCTCTTCTTTAATAGCATCCCATAGGTTATTGCCCAGCTCCTCCAAGCGATGTTGAAGTGTGTCTCTCTCCTGCTTAAGTCCCTCTCTCTCCTTGCTAAGCCTTTTGATAATCCTCTCTTTCTCCTGTATAACATTTTCCACTATCTTAATGAAAAGAGACCCTACAACGCCAGCCACTACATGGCTCCCTAAGGTCTCCAAGCAGTCTTCCAATTCATGGAGGACTAATTCTGCAGCTTCCAGTTTCTACCCTTCCCCAATTCTCTAAGAGGTACTTTACCCTAGACCAGTTTCCCACTAGGGGTTCCCAAATCGGAAGCTCTACAGCTGGGGGAAAAATAACAGGTGAAGTGGTACTCTCTGCTGCTGCATCTGCTGGGGCCTCCCCACCATCCACAGGAGCAGCCCTCCCAAAGATCACGCCTATTGTGACAGATTTCGGGTTCAGAGGAATCCTGCCGACTATGCCAGATGTAAGTGTGGGGAGAGGAAATCCTGGGGCAAAATACCTCTAAAAACCAAAATTAGTGAAAGGGAGAAATAAAGTTTAAAACCCATCTATTGCTTATAAACTGCAGTCCAGGGCCATCTCTCTCCTCTGTTCCAGAAAAAGCCAGCAAGCAAACCAGGCCCCTCCCCTTAACCTCTCAGGTTCAGACATACCCTGGTTGCCCAGGTAATTACCTATTGACATGGAGATGAACTTCTCTCCACCCCTGAGGATATGCAAATTCACTAAAGGCAGGTGAGATACTCTGGAAATGTTACAATTTTACCCATAATGGTAGTACCATAGGCAAGACTGGAGAACAAAGCAGAAGCTATTATAGAGGATGTGGATGAGTTAGGAGAGGGTGTTCTAAGCAAAAGTCCATTGGAGTAGATTCCCACATGTCATGGCTTCTCCTTGGCTGAGTTGTGACAGTCTCTCACTGGCTGGGATGTTACCCAGATGGCAGAAATCTTACTGCCTCCTGCTGGGGAGTAAAGTAGCTAAAACAGTATGGTGTGGCTCTCTACTGGTGGGGTCTGAATTTATAGGGAGTGGTGGGCTTGAGAGCTCCCCCTGCAGGCCTTCTGACACCATGTTAGTGAGGTTTCCCTTTATTTTCACAAAAGCATAGAAGTGAGTGCTGCAGATCTCTTTGGGCCCACTCTATGAAGCATAGCATCACTTCTACCTAATTTTATTGGTCAAAATTATAGGTCTGGGCCGCCTTCATAGGGAGGGGAAATGGATTGCACCTCTCAATAGGAGAGGTAAAGAGTTAGTGAGCATTTTAAATTCATCACATTATTTTTTATTTCATCAGTGGTAATTTTTCAGTCTAAACTGGCCTACACATACTTTGTTTCTCTTCAAAAAATAGCTATAGCCTTATAGTTGAAAAGAACTCAGCAAATTACAGAAAGGTCTGTACAGCTGTTTTATTTTATATATTAGGCACAAAAAAAAATAGTGGACCCTAAAAATTCCTATCCTAATTATGAAAAAGGGAAAAGAAAACACCAAAAATTTGGGAGACAGACTGAATTGTTAAATATATAATTACTCTTAGTAATATCAATATTTTTGCCATGATTGTCATATGGCAAATGTATCATGAGATTGAGAGAACATAAGATAGGCTCTCAATGAAGCTAAGAATGGATAATTTTATGAGTAAGTCCTGCTTTTAAAGGAGTTTTCTGAAAAAAATTGAACTTTTATCTCCAGAATCTGAAAAGTATTTACTAATCATTGTGAAAATATTCCAGAGGCCTGGGAAGCTTTTCTTATCTCTCTTCTCAGAGATTTTTAGCATATCTTTTTCTTTTATACCGTCATTGAACAAAAACATATAATTTTAAACATTTTCTTAATGGGAAAGAAGTCTTCCATTGTATAATTCTGGCTTCTCTTCTCCACTTTATCCTTCTTAAAGAAACATATATTCAAAGTAAGCTCCAAAAATCATAACTCTTCAAATTAGAGCAATGTATTATCAAATATTTTTGTGACTGAGTATAGCGGTAGAGTGCAATGGCCTTGCCTCAGCAAAAACTAAGTCCAAGTACATGAAGCAGTGAGTAAGCTAAAGTCTTCTGAGAAATTTACAGTTCCACTGTGCCTGGTGAATGCGGTTTCAGGCCAGACCACCCCAGAACATGCCACTTGCCAGAATATGGCATGTAGGATTATTTCAAGCTGAAGATATTTAAGGCCCAACAGATTCAAGATCTTTTTATCTCCCCTTAACTGCTTAAAAGAATTTAGATAAGGAGCCCGTACCAGGAAGAGAGCTATTACCAGAGATAACTTAACACAAGAAAGATTTGTCTATGTGGCATGGCAAGCATTTGTTTACCAAACATTTGCTTCTCCCATTTTCCTCTAAATTATCTCCCTCCCCTTTGAAGTCCCAGATCTCTACACACCCCAAGCCCCTCCTTACCTCAGGATGGCATATAAACCTCTGTTCCCTGTCAAACAGCTGGTTGTGTCTATATGGGGCTCCTGCATGTTCGTAATTAAATTTATTTTTCTCCTGCTAATCTGTCTTGTGTCAATTTAATTATTAGACCAACCAAAGAACCCAGAAGGAAGAAGAGTCCTCCCCTACACTAGCATAATTCCTTAAAATGTTGATTTTCTGTTGCATTGTTAGTTGTAAACATCAGTGAAGTAAAAAACAAAGTGGTGATGTGCCACCTTGTGGATGCACAAAGAATTACTGTATTTTTTTCCCCAGGGTGAGAATTTAA